CACCCCCTCATTTTAAAAAAAAAAAAAAAAAAAAAAAAAGCCCCTCCCCAGGCTCCTCGGAGCCAAGCCAAGCATCAGCAGGAGAAGAAATAAGGTAAAATAAATCAGCGAGAACCTCCCGACAACAATAACCGAGAATTTAACTATGCCTGACAAAACTGCTTATATACCACAGGCTTACTGTATTATTTACATAATTAGTGTTAAGAGCATCAAAGAGAAATCCTCTCTGCACTCAACATGTGCAAACTAGACCTCATCAGGTTCAAGCAAAAGCCACCTTTCTCATGTCTTGTGTCACTGTTACGGCAAGCCGCATACCAGAAGAGCGACTGGACTCAGTAATCGGCAGGACTCAAACTCAGGTCAGAGAAAGATGTTTATTAGACAAAGTATGGGACGGAAGGAGGTGGTGAGGATCAGGCGCGGAGCTGCCGGCGTGGGACTCGGGTGTTAGGGCCGCAGAAATGACTGGACCACTGGAGAAGCCGCCCAGGGTCGGAGAGGGGTTTTGGCACTGCGTATAGAGCAGAGAAGGAGATTAAGAGGAGACAATAGGCAGATGAGGGTGTGATGAAGCTGAGCACAACACAGGTGACCTGCGTATAGAGGACTGCTGGCTCCGGGCTGGAGAGCGTGCTTGGAACCCAGCGCCGAGGTATGCAGACAGGAACAAGGGCCCACGCTTAACTGACCCAGGCACTGGATGTGGACCCCCACCAACGATCGTCGCTCGACAGCAAGGCCCACGGAGACATAGGCGGCATCAGGCAGCAGTTCAAAACATAAGACACTCCTCCGTAATAAGTTCCAAATAAACAGAAGATACTCCTTGGTAATGTGTTCAAAATAAACATAAGATCTCTCTAATAGTTCATGAAATAACAGAAGATACTCCTTGGTAATCAGTTCAGACAAAAACGTAAAGGGCTCCTCAGTAATCCGTTCACAAAACATAAACAAGGCAAAGACACTCACTCAAGTCGACACAGTTGAATAACACCAATATACCAGGGAAGGATGATCTTAGTAGACCTCAGGATCCAGGACATGAAACACGCAGAGTTACCGGCAGAAGACTGAGAGATCGTCTAGCAGCGAGGACACACCAGCGCCGTGTTTAAGTACATAGCGGTTAATTGAGCGCAGGTGTGCCTCATCGCCGGGAGCGTGTTCCTACGTGAGCAGGGGTGGAGTCGCTGATAGCCCCGGTAACAGCTGCCGAGGTGCCGGGGACTGTCCTGATCCGCGGACGTAACAGTCACCAACAGTTCAATGAGCTGTAATGACAGAACAATCTCAACAGAAGAGC